CATTTGTCATAGTCTTTAGATTTGCATTAATATGGTAACCAATGCCCACATGTGACTACTTATACTTAAATTAATTAAAATTAAATAAAATTTAAAAGCCAGTTCCTCAGTTGCACTAGTCAAACATTTCAAGGGCTTCGTAACTGCTTGCAGCTAATGGATACCTTATTGGTCAGTGAAGGCATAGTGAAGAAAGTTTTATTGCGTAAATGGGAGATGGTTATTCAGATTTTTGCCTGATAGGTATTCCAAGGACAAGACGCTGGAAAAACATCTTAAATCTGAAGGAGAGAGAAATTTCATACCAGGTGACTAGAACAGAGAATAAAAAGCATGTAAAAATTATTACACGAAAGCTCATCGTGTCATTTTGGAATATTAGAGATAAAGGCAGTATATAAGCACTATCTTGGATTTAAAGGTCATGTAAAGAATCTGGAATCAAAATGACACCAGATTTCTTAACGGCAGCATTGGAAGTTGTAAGAATTCTATGCAAATAATTTTCACTCAGAATTTAAAGTCATTCTTCTACTAGTTAACTAAGGGTAGAATAATCTAGAGAATGTGTCCCACTGAAATGAGAGAGTAAACCAAGAAAGGGGAGATTTGGGATCCTAGAAACAAAGAGACAGAATGTATTCTCACGATGTTGTGGTTTCAGGGTGGCATGAACTCTATAGCAGGTCTAATGCTGACAACTACAGGCTGGAACAGAGACAAGAAATTTCAGAAGGTGGGGCGCCTGGGTGGCTCAGTTGTTAAGCGTCTGCCTTTGGCTCAGGTCATGATCCCAGGGTCCTGGGATCAAGCCCTGCATCGGGTTCCCCGCTCCTCGGGAAGCCTGCTTCTCCCTCTCCCACTCCCCCTGCTTGTGTTCCCTCTCTCGCTGTGTCTCTCTCTGTCAAATAAAATCTTTAAAAAAAAAAAAAAAAAAAAATTTCAGAAGGTCTGTGTGTGTCTGTTTGGGAGATGTAGGAGTGATTGAGGGGGAAACCCATAGAGCTGACAGATTATCTGAGAATTTTGATCATGTGAAAAATTGAATCAAAGGATTGTGGACAATGCTGGAAGAATTACCAAAGGATGGATGTGTGTGTGTGTGTGTGTGTGTGTGTGTAAACTAAGGAAATAAAAACAGATGGAATTAGTAACCCCAGGAAAACAAAAAGGTTGCATAAGAAAGGAATCATAGCATACTATATTGCTTGCTTAGCAGTGCCCATTCCATTGTCAAAATGGATGTAGATTTAACCAAAATAAGATATAGATTTAACCAAAAACTATGGTTACGCTACTGGGAAAATGTGGTAGGGTTAGCATGGGATTGAGGAGGGAATTTAAAAAACCAAAATTCTCACCTATATGTGAGAAAATCAAATAAGTAATATCTGAAGCTGATAGGGAATATTAGAAGGTTATTTAGAAGCATGGAAGTCATACTGAGGATCACTGCCAGTAAAACAAACAGTTCTGAGATTTGAAAATGGCTGCAATGGGAAGGACAATTGGGGATAGATGGTGCTATGAAACGCTTGTAAGTGAAAAGAGGAGTCTTTTGCCTCACCTGTATGTTACTTTTTAAAACAATGTACATGCATTACTTTGAAAAGAATAAAAGTGGTTTGGAGCATGAAAGCATATAGGATGTATCTCCCGTAAAATTATAGAAATTTTAGTATGGTCGCCCTTGGCAGTATCGATACTTGGGCCAGATAATTTTTTGCCTCAGGAGGGCTGTGCTGTGTGCTGCATCCCTGGCTTTACTAGATGCCAGCAGCATTCCTCCTCCAGCCTGACAACTAAAAATGTCTCCAGACATTGCCCAGTGTCCCCTGAGAGACAGCCCCATTTGAGAACCACTGATTTAAGAGATTTAAAATCTGTTACTGAATGAATCATCGCCATACATAAAAATGCTATTCAGTACTGGTGTAATGCAGGAAAACAACAGCTTCATTACACAGATCTTGAACCTCATAGCAAATGAAGTGTTCAGAATTCTCGGGTTCCTCATGCCAGTACCCGGCTTAGCCCCTGGCTCTTGGCCCAGTTAATTCAGGGCTCACTAAAAAAAGAAAGGACTCAGGAGGAAATTGCAGCTTCTCTGTTATGCTCAGCGGTTTCTGAAAACATATTTTGGATTTTTTGCATTGTTTTCATGATGGTACAACTTGAATTTCTCTGGCGTGCAAATATTAATCATTACGGCAATTTTGGGAAAATATTGCCGCCTTTGGATATATTTCTGTGGTCAGTTGGCTGCAGGACGGATGGATGCATACATTCCTTCTCCCTCCCTCCCCCAGCATCCTTGTGCAAGTTCTTGGTTCAGTTCTTTGCAAGGGTTTTCCCTTAGAATTTACAAAGGAAGTCAACAGGAAAATGGTTCCTCAGATTTTTTGATGTGGATGAAACCTCATAAATAATTTAATACCCTCATTTCACAGCTGAGGACTCTCTGGTCCAGAGAGAGTTTCTTATAATTAATTAGGAGCAAAGTGAGGCCTGTAAATCTGCCCTTTTTCCCCTAATTTTTTTTTTCTTTTTTAATATGATAGCATTAAACGTAATACCACTGGTGCGGCATGAAGATGGAAGGGGGGGGTAGGGCAGTGGGTCAGGCATCTATCTGGCAAGTTGTGTCCGCATTTTCACACAGTTTGGGACTCTGAGCATCGTGTGCCAGGAGCACGAGCCCTTGTTAAGTTTAGAGAGAAAGAGAAAGATGGCTGGCTGGCTCAACTATGGGGCCCCCTGGCTCCTGCTTGGGAGGAACTGTGCAGGTTGTCTGGTATTTTGGAGTCGCCCCTGCTGGGAGTGTGCTGTCTCCAGGGCCAACTTCCCCGGGTGGCCTCCTCTTCCCTCTGCTGGACGGGGCACTGGACGGGGCACCCATGCTGTCCACTGCCCAGCATCCTGACACTCAGCTGCACCCATCCCCTTTCCTGAGCACCCTGAGAGCATCACCTGACGTTTCTAGAAACCTCTGCCCTCTTGCCTGCCTTTGTTGCCTCCAGCACCACTCAAGCTGCAGCTCCCTTCTCTTCCTTGTCGCCTGACTTCATGGGCCAACAGGAATGCTGCCGCCTCCATGAAGCCTCTCTAGATTTCTTCCATGCAGTGGGCGTGGGAAGAGAAGACAGTGTGGTTTTTTGTCATCCTGTCATCTGCTCTCCTCCTCGTCATCCATATCAGTGGCCATTATTTGCTAGTCATTCCATGATTTTTGAGAGATGTCTGTCCCTAGATGCTAGCGATACTGCACCACCCTGGATTTCCTCCTACCTCTCCGCACACCCCTGTCTCATTGACATCTTCTTCTCTCAGCCTTCCATCCTCGGCTTGTGTTCTTTAGACCAGGGCTTCTCTGCAGGGCGCTTGTGCCCCCCAGGGGACACCTGCTAACCTCTGGGGTCAGTTTGGTTATCACAGCGAAGGGGGCGAATGTGTGGATTGCCACCAGCATCTAGGGGGTGGAGCCCAGGGTTGCCGCTCAATGGGCAGTGCAGCCCCCACAACAGAGTTATCCGATTCGCAGAGTCAGCAGCGCTCAGGCTGAGAAACTCTGCTTTGGGCATTCCCATTCAGGCCCGTAGCTTTTGAAGATCATGGTTACGGGGTGACTTCCAGACTTAACTGTGCAACCGTGACCTCTCCTGATTGCTCGGACTGGTGTCCTTCACTACCTAGTTAGTAGTCCACTTACAGTTAGGATGCACGTTTCAAAGTTAACGTGTAAAAAAGTCTTGCTTTTCCTCTCTCCTCAGTCTGCTTACATCTCAGGAAATGGCACCACCTTCCAAATTGTTGCTTAAGCCCTGAAGGTAGAAGTCACACTGGGTTCTTCTCTCCCCTCCCCATCACACATGCCTCCCCCTCCCCCCGTGAGTTCTCTAGGTCAGAATGTCTTAGAACCCTGTACACTGTCTGTCTTTTGTGCTTGTCTTTCCTGCTGGCACTGTTCGAGTCACTGGTGGTTCTCTGTTGAGCAAGAGCTTCTTTGGATTTTGTTCTAAGCATGACAGGAGGCCCTGAAGGCTTTTTTTTTTTTTAAATAGCTGGATGATCAGATTTTCTTTTCTCATTAACTCTGGTGCTGGGTGAAGAATAAGGTGTAGTGGGCCCTGAGTAGGATCAAACTCCTTTTTGTGAGCTGTGAGGTCCTCTTTGACCCGGGACCTGCTATTACTCACTTCTGGTGCCCAGCACTAGCCTTCCTCCCTCCCTCTTGCCAAGCTCACTCTCACCGCAGGACATTTGCACTTGCTGTGTCTGCATTGTGGCCTCTCTCGCCCCCATTCAGACGCTCCCTCCTCAAAGAGTGCTGCCCCAGGCCCCAGAGTAAGTAAATTCCTTGCCCCTGGTCACTTTCTCTTCCACCACCACCAACTGGAGTTTCAGTAGTTCTGTCGTATGAAGTGATCTCGCTCTGCGTTTGCTTTCTAGTTTATGGTCCCTGCTCTTCCATCACCAGGTTCCCCGCTTTTCCCTGCCGGGATGGGTACGTTCCACAAGCCCGGGCACTCTGAGTCCCTAATACTGGAACAGCGCTGAGCGCCGTTTGTATTTTCCGCAAGACTGAACAAGCCGTTGTCAGTAGAAACTTACTTAGTTGGGTTGAATTTAGAAACACGTGTGTTTAAAAAAAAAAAAAAAGAAAAAAAACATACCTGTGTTTTCACTTAGCATGCTTTAGGAGGGTAGAGGAAAGTGTGTCTTGTAAGAGCTGAGTGGATTTTTCAGTTATCGACATTCCCTGGTGATAGGATCATAATTGCTTGTGAGATAACGAAACTTTTGACCAGATTTGCATGCTTTAACTGGGGAGTGAAGCCTGGGAGTCAGTGATGGTGGCTGGGTACCGTCTGACCTAGTGATTATTTCGGTTTTGTCGTATCCCTAATTCAGATATCTCCTGGCCTGTGCAACGTTGACGGTGTACTTCAAGATGTTTTCATGGACCCTTTTGCCTGACTTCGGTTATTTTTCATTAACAGGTAACTGAAGACAGAAAACAGGCCTTGAAATAAACCCCCGAAGGAAGAAGGTGATTTGCCTACATTTGGCTCTGAGTAAGTGAAATTGTAAAATGATTTCTTATTATGTAATAAATATCTTGTCAACCTCTTCATATTTTCTGTGCTTAGAAATTAAATGTTACTGTATTGGCTCTAAGTACTGGAAATGGTGATTTCTCAAGATTTCTCGTAACAGGTAATTTTGCTAGCAAGAAAATGCTGTGTGTCTGCCTAACACCCTTCTTTTTCGTTGAGCTTCTGGAAGTCAGAGATTTTAGGAAAGAGAAATGGTGATGATTATTTAAAATCTGTATGCTTTGGAGAGAAGTATCATTTGTCATGTTGTTTCCCATATGCGTTTGAGGCCCTTCTTTGTCCTGAGAAGGCTGAGTCATAACCAGCAAGGGCTTTTGACTTTTTGTCTGGCACATGCTCCGCTTCTCTTGTTTGTTCTTCTTAGTATGTGTGTGGAGAACGACAGGCCACCGTGTAACCACTTGTGGACCAGCCAGGATTTTCCAGAACCACCTTGTTGGTGGTTCCCGTGCCTATGGGTTTGCCCGTACCCTCCTGAGGCAGCACGGCCTGGGACAGAGGCCCCTGCAGACACATTTTCCTTCGTTCTTAGCCCTCCCTGAGCTGTTGATAGAGCAGAGCCAATCCAGAGTCACGTAGAACAGGCCTTCTGGGGCCTGGAGCTCTTCTCTTGTGTGCTGTATTGCACCCAGTTAAGGCCCGATGCCCTCTCAAGTCAAGAACATCCTTTTCAGAGCGCTTGGTTTGAGAGATCTTCCATCTCTGGGATGACCGTTCAGTGTGTTATTTCCGGAGCATTGTGGAGTATACAGAGGTGTGTGAAATGTGTCTTGTTTTGGGGGGTAAGGCATTTCAAATGCACGTAGTTGGGGGCGCGGCAGAAGGCCATGGTGGGAATGGGTATTCCATGCATGGTGTAGACGTTCCCTGCTGAGGGAATTCTGAGCAACGCTCTTTTTTTAAATTTATTTTTTTGAAAGATTTTACTTACTATTTGAGAGAAAGAGAGACCATGAGCAGGGGGAGGAGCAGAGGGAGAGGGAGAAGCAGACTCCTTGCTGAGCAGGGAGCCCGATGTGGGGCTTGATGTGGGACTTGATCCTGGGACTGCGAGATATCATGACCTGAGCCGAAGGCAGATGCTTAACTGAGCCACCCAGGCGCCCCTGAATTCTGAGCAAGGCTCTTAACAGCATGTGGCAGAGTAGCCAAAGAAGGAGGGACCTTCCTTTAGGAAGGGAGACTCCAGATGGGTTTGGTGGTGGATGGGATATCGATAGATGTTGAAGAATAGGTGGGGGACTGACTCTATGGGCAAAGGTCAGGAGCCAGGAACAACAAAGCTTTTTTTTTTTTTTTAAAGATTTTATTTATTTGACAGAGAGACAGCACAAGCAGGGGGAGCGGCAGAGGGAGAGGGAGAAGCAGGCTCCCCGCTGAGCAGGGAGCCTGACACAGGACTCGATCCCAGGACCCTGGGATCACCACCTGAGCTGAAGGCACATGCTTAAGTGACTGAGTCACCCAGGCGTTCCACCCCCTTTTTTTTTTAGTAGGGAAAATTGATAAAGCAGCCTGGTGGCCTTGAACGGGGTGATGGGGGAGCAGAAAGGGCCTACGGGAAGGGCAAGGACTATGGACTAGACCGTGCCTACACTGTGCTCTAAGGAGCTTTTGATCCTTTAGCGTTAGAGCTGCCATCTTCCATCGGCCTGGACGTACCCGAGGACTGTAAGCCCATCAGTAATGGAGGGACTATCTGTAGATCAAGAGGGCACCAGAGGTGACTCTTATAACCAACTCGCATGGGGCAGAAAGCACAGTAAATTGTGACAGGGTAGCCCTAGTACACACGTGTGCCAGATGTTGCTGGGTTTTGGTAACGCTTTCACTGAGCTGGTTCATAGAGGGGACCGTCGCTCACTGGACGCGTGCTGTGCAGCGGTCCTTGCTCTGCTTACGGAGTTGTGCTCCTGCCCCCGCGGTGTGAGTCCTTCTGTCAGAGCCCTACGTGGACCGTTGTCAGAGTTGAGTCACCCCCTCCTCTGGCCTTCCCCGGTCCCGGACAAGCACCGGTCTACTTCCTGTGCCTACGGGTTTGCCCGTTCCTGGGCGTTTCATGGGAACAGCGTCGTGTGGTGTGTGTTCTTTTTGGCTTCTGTTACTCAGCATAGTGTTGTCACAGTCCCCCCTGTGTGGTAGGACGTGTCTGCATATCATTCTTTTTTCTTGCCAAATACTGTTCCGTTGTATGAATAGGCCACATTTTGTGTATCTGTTCATCAATCAGTCATTTTGAAAGCTGCTATTCCGAAGTAATGTTGGACTCGCAAAAAGTTGCAGAAATAGTCCTGGGAGTCCCAGAGTACCCCTCCCCCCCTTCCCTGTAACGAGAGCATCTCCCATCACGATCCCGAGATCCTGTGCTATCACAAGGGGGAAATTGATGCTGGCCCTGTGGACTCCAATGCAGACCGTCTGTGGATCTCACCAGTGTTCACGTGCACTCGTGTGTGCATGCTTGTGGTTGCGTGCACGTGCACAGGTGTATCACACATACACGTTCATGCACTTTGCAGACGCCACGCAGTACGTCCTGTAGTTCACGTGTCATGCAGTTTGCAGATGCACACCGTTTACATCACCAGCACGGCTCCTCATGACACTCCTTTAGGTCACCCTCTGCAACTCCTGGCAGCCACTGGGCTCTCCGTCTCTAGAATTCTGTCATTTCGAGAATGTTACATAAATGGAATCATATGGCATCTGGCCTTTGGAGACTGCCTTTGTTCACTCAGCCTAAAGCCCTTGAGATCCATCCTGGTGGTGGGTGTCAGTAGCTCGTGCCTTTTGAATGCCGAGCTGTATACCGCTGTCTGGGTGTACCAGAGCTTAGTGCACGTGCACTAAGTGCACGAGTTCAGGGGCCTTCGGGATCTTTCCAGCTGGGGGCTAGTACAAGTGGAGCTGCCGTGCACAGGTTTTGGTGTGGACCAGATGCTGTTTTAAGTCCCCAGTTTGTGCCTCCGGTAGTCCTGGGAGATCAGTGCCATTGTTGGGGTCCATTGACCAGACACGGAAAGGGCACAGCGAGGCCGTGGGGCTCCCGGGCTCCCGTGGGGGAGTGGGTGGCTGGAACGGACTCCAGCTGGCTGAAACCCCACCTGAGCTGCCGTGTTTGGAGGGTACAGCAGTAGTGCTGGGCCTCTCTGGCATCAAGACCCTGCTGACGGATGGAGGGTGAGACCCCCTGGCCACATGGAAGGAGCTGGGCGCCGAATCATGCCACTGGGGACGATTGCCTTCGTGGACAGACAGCTGCCATGCAAGGAGCAGAGCCCAGTCACCATCGAGCTGCTTTCCTGTTGGGGGACCGCTGTGTATGGGGACGAGGTGGCTCAAGGAGGCAACCTCCGGTTCTGTCTGCTGCGGGGCCAGCAGGAAGCCCTGGGGCTGTTGTTCGCTGGCAGGCGATTGGGCTCAGACCCGTGGGCTCCATCAGGCACATGCCCCGCCGATTGCTGCAGAGAACCACCTGGCTGCGCTCTCCAGAGACCAGCCATGTGGCCATGCTGTTCCCAGGAGCTGCCTTCAGAGGGACCTGCTTGTCCCTCCCCTGGGGGGGGCAGTTGGTGAATCAAAGTAGTGAAAGGTGCGGTGCCCTTTTCCTCGGCGTGGCTGTTCTGTTCCCGTGAGGACAGAAGGAGAGGCACGCGGGGGGGCTTGAGGCAGCCAGCTCTGGTCTCACCTCTTGTTTTCATCACCCACGCCCTGTGGGACCTCCAGAAGTTGCTTAGCACCTTTGAGCCTCAGTCTTCTCTGTACAGTGGGAAGTTAATCCCTACTTCGCAGTCCTTTGGTACGAGACATGAAACTGCCAAGTGTCTTGCAGAGTCCGTGTGCATTCCCGTTTCTCTCTCCTACTTCTTTTCTTCCCTTCCCCATCCACAGCCTGGAAGTGATTCAGAACCCTGAAATACTCAGTGTTTGCTTTTGGGCTATATGCTGTTTGCCCAGTGTGGAGGGAGGGAGGGAGGGAGCGTGTGTGTCTGTGTGTGTGTGTGTGTTGTGTGGCTTATTCTAAACACTAGCCGTCTGCTTTCTCATTCATCTCTGATTGCCGTCCTTTTTGGGTCTAAGTCACAAGACGGGTGACCAGTTCTCACCAATTCCTCTTTATTCGTTCAATCCAAGAAGGGCACGAACGATCCAGGTACTTGTAATAAAAGGGAGCCATGGCTCCGAAGTGGAGCGTTGGAGCCTGAAGGATTGGTTTAGTGTTAGAGTTGATTAGGACTGGACATTGTAATAGGGACAAGACAGGGACTCTGGTGTATCTCAACTGGGCGGTGCGCCCTGTCACAGACCAACCCCGTTCCGGGGGTTTCATACTAACTGGGTAAACGTGGTGCCCCAGAGGGGGTCTTACAGCAGGCTCAGAGTGCGGTGGGGTAGAGTGGAGTGTTGCTGATCTGTCTTATCAAAAGCAGTAAAGCTTCACGGGTGACCTTGGAACCATAGCTTCTTGATTTAAAGGTGTCAATTCCGTGTGGATAATCCGGTAGCATGATTGCTTTTTGTTGTCTCCAGCTGATGAAAAGTCCTTGATGAGTGCTGTTTGATAACACAGTTCGGCTTTTTGTTCTCCCTTTCAGTTTGCCCTGCACATTTATTCAGTGTTCTTTTCTTTCAAACACCATTTGTCTTCATCTACTTTCGTGAATGCCCAGAACACACACGTAGAGCCCCGCAGACACTGCCTCCAGGTTATCAGGAAAACTGCTTCCTTGTGAGAAGCTGGCTATTACTTTTTTGTTGAGCCCAAGCAGATGGGGAAAAAGTGCACCCTCTTCCCAACTATGGATTGAAAGTCTAGTGAGTTTCATGTTGCAATTTGACTGAAACGGACATTAATTAAGTTCTTGATGAATTAAACTAGAGAATGAACTCTTTGAAATTGGTTTTAGATTCTGGTTGTAACACAGCTAGGAAGGGGCCTCAAAATGATGGAACAATTC